ACTCACTCAACATGGTTGAGCAATTTTCCATAGTATGAAACAACACATAATGCCAGAACAACCCGTTCTATCCATCCTCTGCTGATGGACAATTGTATAGTTTTAGTTTGGGGTTATTACAAATGAAGCTGCTATGAACATTCACATACAAGTTTTGTAATGAACATATATCTTCATCATTTTTCTTAGGTAAATGCCTAGCAAACAGGAGGATCACAGAGAAAGTAATAATATTTAACTTTTTAAGAAACTGACAAATTGTTATCCAAAATAGTTCTATAATTTTAAACTTGTATCAACTTATGAGTGTCACAGTTCCTCCACATTCTTTCCAAAACATTTGGTAAGGTCAGTCTTTTTAAAGTTTAGTCATTCTGACAGGTATGTAATGTTATCTGACTGTAGCTTTAATCTACATTTATCTAAAGAGTAATAAGATATTGTGCACGTGTTTATGTCTCAACATAATATCTTTTTGCTGAACTACCTGTTCAAATATTTTGGCCAACTGGTTAAAATAGTCACATTATTGAGTTTACTTACTCTGAATTTACATATACATTCTGGATATAAGTCCTTTGTCAACTACTTCTTTGTAGAGATGTACTGCCACCTGATGGCTTATCTTTTCATTCTCTTACTGTCTTTTGGGGCTGGGGCTATAGCTCAGTAGCAGAACACTTGCCTAGCACGTGTGCAGCACTGGGTTTGATCCTTAGAAACACATATAAACAAACAAAATAAAAGCATGCTGTTCATCTACAACTACAAAAAAAAATTAATACAGTGTCTTTTGGGCTGGGGTCATGGCTAAGTGGTAGAACATTTGCCTCACATGTGTGAGACACTGGGTTCGATTCTCAGCACCACAAATAAATGAGTAAAATAAAGGTCCACAAACAACTAAAAAAAAATTTTTTTAAAAAAGTATCTTTTGAAGAACAGAAATGTTTAATTTTGATGTCGAGTTCCATTTGTTTTTTTAATAGACTGTCCTTTTAGAGTCATGTCTAAGAAATTTCTGCTTAACCTTAAGTCACATCTTCTATTTTTCATACAGCAGTTTTATTTTAGGTATTACATTTAGGTCATGGTCCATCTGAAGCTAACTTTCATATGAACTGGAAGATACAGATCCAGTTAGGGTTTTTTGTTGTTGTTGGTTTTTTTTTTTTTGCATATGGCTATACCCAATTTTTTCAGCACTCAAATAAACTGTTTCTCTACTGAACTGACTTTGCACTTTTATCAAAAATCAGTTGTCCATAATTGCATGAGTTTACTTCTGAACTCTCGATTCTGTTCCACTGATCTATTCATCTTTCTTTGCACCAACAAAATACTGTTGTAATTACTGTAGTTTAACAGTAATTCTTGATAGGCAGTCAATGTTCCAATTTTTTCACTATAGCTTTTCGCTATCTATACTTCTTTTGTTATTTTTAAGAGACAGTACATGGAATTTCAACAAAATTGAGACCGGGTTTTGTTTTCTAACATCTTTACCATTATCAATACTCCTCTCTACCTTCCTGCAGCTCTACAATGCCACACAGTCTAAAGATGTGAGCTGTTATTTTAGTACAGGTGTTGATTTCCTGTTAAATGTCTTTTTCCTAGCTGTTTTTAAGAGTTATTCTTTATGATTAGTTATTAATATTATAACTATTATAATAATTAGTTTTCAATATTATGTATCTAAGCATACATCTACATGTGAGGTTTACTGAGTTTCTTAGAACTATGTTGTTGATATTTCTTCTAATATTTTACAAGTTTTTGGTCATTCTAGTTCCATGCACACATATATAAAATATACTTTTTATAGAATACATTTTTTGCCCCATTTTCTGAACACAATATACACACATATACGCAAAAGACACATTTTTTTTTTTGGCCTATTTGTCTGTTCATTCTCTGGAATTCCAATTATATAAATGTTAAGACTGCATGAATGTCCCACAGGTATATTTTGTCTTCTTTGGGTGAACACTGAATGAATTATATCCATCAGAATTCAAGTTCCAACCTTTCTTCTGTTGTCTCCATTCTATTAATCCTAACCAGTAAATTTTCTAGTTTTCCATCAGACTTTTTTTATATGCTTTCTTTATAGTTCTCAACACATTACTCCATCTGTTCACTCATTATGTCAAATTTTTCCTTTATAGTTTGAAAATATTTAGAGTCCTTGTCTGCTAATTCTAATAATTAGGTCATTATAAGAATCTGCTCCTATTGAATGTTTCTTCTCTGGTTTATGGGTTTTGCTTTTCTGCTTTTTCACAACTTGTATTTTGGGGGGTGGAGGTGGGGCAGTACCAGGGATTGAACTCTGGAGCACCTGACTACTGAGTCACGTCCCCAGCCCTATTTTTTGTATTTTATTTAGAGACAGAGTTTCACTGAGTTGTTTAGCTCACTGAGGTTCTCTCTGAATTTGCGATCCTCCTGCCTCAGCCTCCTGAGTCGCTAGGATGACGGGCGAGTGCCACCACACTCAAGTACAACTTGTATTTTTTGATGGCATGCTACCAATGGACAACAGTTGTAAGCCTGAATCTTGTTGTCTTCCATAAAGACTGCTGTTTTATTTTGGCAGGCAATTAAATTACTGATGAATCCTTCACATCCTGTCAGATTAGACTTTCAAGTTTCTTTGATGCGTGGCACTTCCTAGAATATGATTCTCTTATGTCATGGGCTTTCTGTATTCTAAAGTGGGTGCTTAAGATACTCTGCAAGGTATCTGCATTCTAACTTTCCAAAACGCCAATGTTTCTGAGCACTGTTCAACCTACAGAATCACCATGCAGCTGCCAGGCCTATAGCAGGCAATTTCTGATAGACTTAGTGAAGTCTCAGCCCGCACATATAAAACCTAGCCATAATCCAAAATTATAAATGAAGTGAACTCCTACACCAAATTCTGCCCACTGCCCAATACTTAAACCTCTTAACAATTTCTTTTCTTCAGAACCCTTTCCCACAAATCTCAGATGTTTGAGCTCCTCTAAATTCCAATCTCAGTCTCTTCAGTGAGACCTCTGTGCTATACTCAGGCTCTATTTCCCTGTGCTAAAGCAGAAAGGTACTCCAAAGTTGAAAGTTAAGAGATTCTCCCTCATGTGTATCCTTTCACTCAAGATAGTGATCTTGTACTTCTGTTCATCAATTCCAGACAGCAGCTGTCCTAAGTGTTTTATTCTGTTACACAGCTTTTGGTTTGGGGGGTACACTAGAAATAAAGAGGCCAAGGCTGCTATCATTTACTCTCTCATGATCCTGAATATTAACTTTTAAAACATTCAAACAGAGGGGCTGGGGTTGTGGCTCAGTGGTAGAGCACTTGCCTGGCATGTGTGAGGGCCTGGGTCCAAATCTCTGCATATAAATAAATTAAATAAAGGTCCACTGACAACTAAAAAAAATAAATAAATAAAACCATTCAAACAGTATTATGTATTGTGTCAAAAAAAAAGACAAAGCAAGAGTTACAGACAATTGAAACTTGATTTTCAATTATCTGCACATGACACTTTGGTTAACAAAACCATGGCCTTGTGGTTTTGCTGTGTAATCACTGCACAGAAAAATTAGTAAAAATATGTATTGACAAATTCATCTTCATACCACTATATCTATATTTGAATCAGTATTTCATTATAACTTTTAGTAACCTGAACTGTCAGGAATGGGCATGTATATGTCAAGGTATACATATATACAGGCTACCTGAAGGAAATTAAAATGTTACTGCATAATGTAATTAGTTCCTTAAGAAATTAATTCAGGAAAGAATACAGAAAAAAAAAAAAAAGAAAGAAACTTTGCTTTTAGGTATACAAAGTGAGATATAGGGCTATAGAATAAATTCATTCAATAATAGATTAAAAATTTGGTCTTTTAGCCATAAAACTAAGGTCTCAAATTTATTTACAGATGGACATTAAAAAACAATATTATTTCAGATATACAGAATTCAGGAAAAACAAGACTAAGTAAATCATGTTAAATTTCCAACTAGATAACCTAAGGAAAATCAATTCAAAGAATTAAAATATTGGCACAGCAAATAAAAAAAGGATGATGCCACAAAAAGAAAATGATGTACCTTAATTGTTTGGTCTTTACTTACACTTTAGGCTTTAGGATTCATGGAATAAAGAAGAAATACTTCAAAACAGATGACACAAACAAAAAAAATAAAAATACAAGAAGAATATAAAAGGGGCATCTGAGATTATAACAGGAAAGAGGAATGGTTATACGTTGGTGGTTTAAAAAAAAAAAAGCAATCAAGAACCAGGAGCAGTGACAATGTCTTTAATCCCAGCTATTCAGGAGTCTGAGAAGCTGAGGCAGGATGGAGGATCACTGAAGGCTACTGCGTTCTAGGATAACATGGGCAACATAACAAGACCTCATCTCAATAAATAATAAATAAATAATCAAGGATTTCAAGGTAATCTCAACACATTGAAATGATAAACGATGTAATAATGTCTGGGATGATAGAAAGGTTAATTCCCTAACCTAATTACATACAGTACATATTTAAATTACTATATGTAAATTTAAATTTTAAAAAAATTAAATCATGATATAATCAAAAACAATAAATTTATTTAAGACTTTAGGTATGACTATGTGGTAGAATGCTTGCCTAGCATGTGCAAGGACTTATGTTTAAGTTCCAGGACCACAGGGAAAAAGGAGACTTAATTTTTAAAAAAGACTTAAAGTTACTTGCCCATAAAGTCACCAACTTCAGAATTTCTGACTTGAAACATAAATACTCTAATAAAATTTTCTCTAAAACATTTCAATAAGGCATTTAAAAATTAAAAGAACATAAATACTCCAATAAAATTTCCTTTAAAATGTTTTAACACAGCATTTAAAAATAAAGACTAAGAATACAGACTAAATATTAGTTTTAACATTCTACTCCATAAAATAGTAAATGACAGGCTTATTAAGAGAATAACAGTTACCTGTAACAACCATGCCACTCATATTAGAGTTTGGACTACTCAGAACACTGCCTGAGAGTAGTTCGTCAGATCCTCTCTATAAAAACAAACAAAAAAAAATTAACATAAGACATCTTTAAATTTTAAAATATTAATATGAAAATATCACTTACCTGCAATTCTTCAAATATTCACTTTAAAAATATTACAAATATTACACTATGGCAATAGTTTAAAAATTTTAATCCCTTTTAAAAAATTAAAAATTAACTTCATCCCTCTATTCACACATCTAGTCTTCTGAACATAATCTTCAACAGCAAAATAAATACTTATGTATAAACATCATGACTAAAACACTGAAAACAAAAGCAAAATCTTTGAAATAAGAAATTTCTTTCTGTGAAAATTAAAAAGAAACTGAATCATGTTCTTAAATCCTTTAATGAAAAGGTTATACATTTTTATGTTCAGAAACTGCCAGCAATGTTTTAACTATTTTGAAAATCCTTGCATTTACAGAAACATGCATGAACAGAATATTTAAAATAGTTAAATCAACTGTTGTGCCTATTTTAAGTATGTGTATATTACACACAAGGGTATTAATAATAACTAAATACTGGCTGATTTAAATAATCAGCATAAAGAAGCTGAATGGTACCGTGATAACGAAAAAAAATGTTTAAAAGATAATTTATTAAAGCATTTTTAAAAGTTCAAAAAGAAAATCAAACTAACCCAGAAATTTCTGCAAATTTGTATTTAAACTCATAAGCTGTATCAGGATATAAAAATGTTTAAAAAAAATACTTAGATCATGTTTCTTAAATGTTTTCAAAACCTTCTACATAGCCTCAAATTGCTCATAAAAAGACAAGTAGGAGAAAAATAAAAATATGATTTCAGGCCACATTAATGCCATATTTATACCAACTCTAATTTCTAATCAAAGTATGGAAGATCTGTCATGGCATAGTTATAGTTAGTATCTACAAGAACATGATGAGCAGAAATAGATAGGATAGAAATTTTCAAAGTATGGTCCCTAAGACCAGCAGTAGACTCAGAAGCTTCCTGGCAATGTGTATTTCCCAAGTCTAATCCAGACCTACTAAATAAACTCTGAGGGTGGGACCCAGCAACCCAAATATAACAAAATCTCTAGGTGTTTCTGCTACAAAGATAAAAATATTTTATAAGCATATATTCATATTGAACATATATTCATATTGTAATAAAATATGGTTATATTACCAAAAATTTTAAAATGTTACATATATTTCTTTGTTTTATTTCTTTATGCAGCCTGGTTCATTACCAAAAACTTAAAAATGCTGCCTATATTTCTTTATGTTTTCATGACAAGTATTCAACATAGTGTTAAAAAAATCAACTCTGGACCTTAGGTTCCACTTATTAACTATGTAACTCTGTTAATCATGCTAAGCCTTAAATTCTTCATTTACAACATCTACATCAGAGCCCTTAGAATTAAATATGATAATACACACACAGTGATTACCAGGCAAAATGCCTGACCCCCATCAGTAGTGTTCACTTAAACATTCCCAAGAATCAACCATAGACAAGGTCCACACAGATAATGCTATGGTTTGGATAACTGTCCCGCTAAGGCCCTTGTAGTAAAGACTTGGTCCCAGCCTATGGCACTATTAGAAGGTGGCTGAACCTTTAGAAGATGGGGACTAATGAGAGGTATTCTGGTCATTATGAACATGTTCTTGAAGGGGATACCAGGACTCCAGATTCTTTTTCTTCCTCTCATTCAATTTCCAGTCATGAGATGAATGGACCACTACCACTGTGTACTCCTGCTATGATATACTGTATCACTGCAGACCCAAACCAAGGGGATCAATTGGTCATGTTCTGAAATGTCTAAAACTGTAAGCCAAAATAAATCTTTTATTTTTAAGTTGATTTACCTCAGGCATTTGTTACACAGTTATCAGAAAGCTGAAAAATACAAATAGTGAAGGAATATTATCATTAAAACCTGGTATATATTTCAGTACCCCTTATTTGAGGGAAGGGGAGTGTTCCGATACCTCCAGTGGATGTCTGAAATTTCAGGCAGTACTGAACCCTGCATATATTATGATTTTTCCTATTTGTGCTACAGCACTGCCACATGGTACCAGTTAGTCTGTCCTTAGAAGCTTTATGCTCTAGTGCTTCCTTTGCATCACTACTCTTGCACTGTGAAGCCATTATTAAGTAAAATAAGAGTTACTTGAACCCAAGCACTGTGATGCCACAACAGTCCATCTGATATCTGTCATCTAAGCTGGTTACTAAGGGACTAATGGGTGAGCAATATATACAATGAGGATAGGCTAGACAAAGGGATGATTCATGTTCCCAGGCAAGATGAAGCAGCATGAGATTTTATCACACTGCTCAGAATAGCACACAATTTAAAACTGATGGATTATTTCTGGAATATTCATTTAATATTTTCAAACTGAGGCTAACTGAAGGTTAATGAAACTACACAGAAAGTGAAACCATGGATAAAGGAGAATAAATGTATTTTAGAAAGGCCTTTTTTTCTTGGGTCAAATAAATGAAAAAAAACATGTTAACCATAAACAAAGAAAGGGTGGCCTCCAACCATAGGAGGTATCTTACACAGAGCAAATAAAGTCAGCCCTTCCATTAATCAACGAAATTGCAGATCAGTTTTTGTTTTGTTTTGTTTTGTTTTTGGTACCAGGGATTAAACCTAGGGCTCGTAACTACTGAGCCACATCCTCAGACCTTTTCTAAAATTATTTGTAATTTTGAGACAGGGTCTTGCTTTGTTGCTTAGGGCCTCACTGGGATTATAGGTTGCTGACAGAGAGCCCAGTGTCACCAGATATTTAAAAAAAAAAAAAAAAAAAGAAAGAAAAAAATTCTGCAGAGACCCAAAGTACTTTCCTCACTGTATCGTTCTTTAACTGTTGTGAATGAAAACATTCCAACCTAGTGCATCACAAGTAATTCTGGAAGATGATGGGTTCAGGAAATCTTAAAGTCTATGGGAGTAAAGAAAGCTTATAATTCTAACTTATGGTATGCAGAAGGCTCTCTTCTTCCTTTCTGCAATGAATCTTTATGCCTGACAAAGTCTTTTTAACTTTTTAAAAATTGTGTGTGGTCATTTCTCTTCATTAAAGGATTTCATACCTGCTGTTAAGACAATACATTTAATAGGCATCATAACTGAATCAGAAGAATAAATAGCAAATTATTTGCAATTCTGAGAACTTATAAATTTGAGTATTTTTAAAAATTATATTTTCATTAAAAAAGCAATTATGTTTGCCTTTCCACTGAGTCAAAGGGTTTACTACCACTATGCTCAAAAGAAGTGATGTGCAATACTGGCAAACATTAACATTACCACACTGATGGAAAATTTTACATAAAATTTCTCAGCCTAGTTGTTTACTTTGGAATATACATAAAATTTATAAAATGGTAATGAGTGGTAGCTGTTCCATATTAGTAGAACAAATGAAATTAGTACTAAACTTGGAATAAAAAATACCTACTAAGAATATGTAACTCTTGAAAATTTTTAATTCATCTGAGAAAGAAGTCAATTGATTTTAGATTCAACTAAAAAAAAAATAAATGTTAAGATTGGCAATAAATGTCTTGACAAACGTAATCTTCCTGTGTAATATCAATGACCATTTAAAAAAAAGTAAAAATTTTAAAAAATTAGTATCCCACAGAAACAATTAGGAGAATGTTCACAGAAGAAAAAAATCCATTGGTCAATTAGAAGGTTTTTTAAAAGGTAATTTCATAACTAGACACAGAATAGAGACTATTTGGTATTAATTTCAATGACAAAAATTTGATTTTTCTTCTCGTGGTTACTGGACATTTTTGTTCATACTAATAGCTCAATTCAACTACCATCTACCACTCCCAAGTATTAGAGCCATCAGGCTGCAAGAAAGCAAGCTAAAAACTGTAGGTTGAAGCTTGTAAGAGTCCCTTGACTGTGCCAGAATTCAGAACTGAGATCTGGCCAAAAGCTTTCTCTTCTGGAGATGACTGGGAATAATGGCAGAAAGACATGGATAGAGGACAGAAATAACAAGTTCCTGAGGCAAACTAGATTTTCAGAGAAGGAAGGTCCATGTTCAAGCAAGTATATGTGTTCTCAAACAGGGCAAAGAAATGAATAGGTAGGAGTATGCTACACTATTAGAGACTAGGGAAGAAGTAACTCATAAAACCGGTAAAAATACATAAAACAATCATATACTAAAGAGGATCAATGAAACCAAAAGCTGATTAAAAACAACAACAACAAAGAGAGGGACTGCCAGGGAGAATAACCAAAAGGGGAAAAAAAGCACAATTAATACATCATCAGAAAAGCACCCAAAAACAAAAGCTTGAAGATGAAAGAAATTTGCTCTGGCGTATAACATTATGGAGTAGATTGCTCTCTCTTCCTACATGAGATCTTTTCTCACGAAAGAAATGTCTTGCTACATTCTGCTATTTTGTAGCTTATCCTTTATCCTAAGATATATATACATATACATACACACATACACATAATGTGTGTGGGGTGGGTAGAGGTTGCACTCTGGATTCTGGATTTTAAGTTAATTGCCCAACTATGGGGCGGGGCAGAGGTGAGGAATGGATCCCTACCCAATATGCAAACAAAAGATAATTTGAGTACCAAATGTAAAAAGAGAAGCTTCAAAAAATTTAGAATATATCTTTAGAAGCTCTTTGTAAAGACTTTCAAACAGAAAGGAAACAAACATAAAAGGAAATACTAATAAATTCTTCCATAAAGTAGCCACAAAAATCTCTATTAAGAAACTGTATGAGCCTAGTGTGGTGGCACACACCTGTAATCCCAGCAGCTAGTGGGGATGACACAGGAGCATCCCAAGTTCAAAGCCAGCCTAAGCAACTCAGCAAGACCCTAAGCAGCTCAACAAGATCCTGTCTCAATATAAGAAGTAAAAAAGGACTGGGGATATAGCTCATAAGTTAATAACGCCTGGGGTTCAATTCCTGATACACAAAAGAAACCATATGGTAAAAATA